GGGTTGGGACATGAAATAAGTGCCAGCATCCTGTTTCAGGGCCCACATCCAGGGCTTCTGAGACAGGCTGGGAGGAAGTTCTCTTTCACTTCCTGAATCCTGGAAGGGGCTGCCCAGCTGATCCTGGTAGGGCTGTGGCCCAGAATGAGAGTCAGTTATGTAGTGCTGTATAGGGAGAAGAAAATAATGTCCCTCCTGACCCCTGCAGCAATCAGGCAAGGCCCTGAAGTAGGAGATTTGATTACTCTTATATTGGGATTTCTAACAAGTGTTATTGGTCATAAAAAATAAATAGAACCACCATATTTGATCTAGTAACCTGCAGTACATTTCCAAGAAGACTTTGTTGTGTGAAGCACCATTTCCTTTCATTTGTTCTACATTCCCTGCACCCTAACCTCAGCAAAGGACCCTCCCTTATTCTTCTGCCATGGGACAGTGAAGATCTATAATCTGGATAATAATACTCAGCATTTCTTTAGTGATTTTCTTTTGGTGATCTCACATGGCTTTACAAAGGAAGGCAAGTGTTATTTCCACTTTACAGATGCGAGATGAAAGCGATAGTTTTCAAACCAGGATGTCTCAATAAAGATAACCTAATTTTTAATTTAAATCATTTGAAAGCAGCACTTGCTCAGCCCTTCTCAAAGGCAGGCCACTTTCATTTAGGAGTCTTAGTATGAATTCAGGAAATTAACTTTAGGCACCCAACTCTGAGAATTCTGGCCAAAGTCACTTGGCCAAAGTCACAGATTAAACAGAAATAGAATCTCTAGTTCCCTAGCCACTGGATGCTGTCAGTTCCCTTCCTACACTTGTTCATCCAATCTAAATAATGCCAGTTTTACAGTCGCTTAATCATGAATTTAAGGCCAGATGGGAACATTATGATCTACCCTGATCTCCTGCATACATGGGCCAGAGAATTTCATCCAATAATTCCTGCATCAGACCCATAACTTCTGGTTATGGTAGATCTGATCTTTTACAAAATACATCCTGATCTTGAATTAAAGATTTCAGGTGATGAAGAATCCATAACATGCCTGAGTAATTATAGCAGAGCAGTAGCTCCACTATAGTAACGGTTGAGACTCACTGTTTAGCAGACTACTTTTCCATATAGTCTAAACGCCACAGACTGAATCAGATTGTCCTGACATTTGCTGTGCTTCATGGGTGGCGTGAGTGGACCAAATCTGGGGTCACTTGAGCAACACATTCCTGAGAAAAAGCCATGTGATATCAAAATCCTTCTTTTTTTTTCCCTGCCCACCACACACCTGGGTCTCAAACTATGCCCAAACTGATATCACCTGCTCAGGGTTGATCTCAGCTAGCACACAGCCCCTTTCCCTTTGGGGAAGCAATACTGAAAGAGTTTGAGTAAAGTTGGGAACTCCAATATGAGTTAACCATAACTGACATGTTAAAGAGAGTGAAATGTGCATATGTAGAAAGGCTAAGGCTGTGTTGCCAAGTCAGTTTAACTGGGTGGCCCAAAGTGACGTGATGCGGCCACTGAACTTGAGCAGCACAGTGAGTTTGAGTCCTAAATTCACACCTCTCTGAACTATTATTTCAGGCGGTATTCATCTCCATGGGGTATTCTCATCCATCTGAGAACACCTCATTGACATCAATGGGGCATGTCACTCCTCTCTGAGGGTACGTCTATACTTACCTCCGGGTTCGGCGGTAAGCAATCGATCCCAGAAGTGCTCGCCGTCGACGCCGGTACTCCTGCTCCGCAAGAGGAGTACGCGGAGTCGACGGGGGAGCCTGCCTGCCGAGTGTGGACCCGCGGTAAGTACTTTGTAGTTTGAACGAAGGTACTTCGACTTCAGCTACGTTATTCACGTAGCTGAAGTTGCGTATCTTAGTTCGAACTGGGGGGTTAGTGTGGACCAGCCCTGAGCCTCCTCTGGTGCATGCGTGTGTGTAGAAACCCAAGCCCACACACTACGTACAGATCTGGGGTAGGGAATCTGGATCTCAACTCATCTTACTGCCCCTTCTTGTCTCATAAGAACAGCCATACTGGTCAGACCAAAGATCCATCTAGCCCAGTATCCTGTCTTCCAACTGTGGCCAATGCCAGGTGCTTCAGAGGGACTGAATAGAACAGTTGAATAGAAGAGGTATCCATCCCCAGTTGCCCATTACTAGCTTCTAGCAAACAGAGGCTATGGATACCATCCCTGCCCATCCTGGCTAATAGTCATTGATGGACCTATCCAGCTATTACATGCACTTCTAAGACCCCATTCCCTGCCCTCCTCTCCATGGCCCCTCTAAGCTTACCCAGGACATGGGTGGCAAGGAAGAGGGTGCAGCTAGCAGGTGGTGGCAGCCTCAGGGCAGTGAGGGTGTGGGGAGGATGGTCAGAGAAATAGATGAGCTGGAGGGAAGGCTGGAGGCATTGGAGCAGTGTGAAGGGTGTAAGGGACCATCCAAATACTGTTTTTCAAAACCCAGTTTAATGACTAGCACTTTGGAGAGGGAGGACTGGGCTGGGCTGGAGAGGCAAAGAGATGAGATGAGATAATGCAGGAGCAGTGGAGGCATTAAAATACAGCCAGTGCATTCTGTGGCCGGGGCAATTGTTGCCAAGGAGTCAGAGGCAGTGGAACGTGGGGATGCCAATTTTATTTTTTTTAACTAAGGAAATTAACTGTCCAAAAACATCATCAACATGGAGTTAAGGTTGCCCTTGTGCCCTTCAAAAATATGAAGAGAAGCTAAACTTAAACATCTGAAAACCAGGAAATAAAAGGTTAAGGATACATATTACTCCTGCAACACATTATGTGAGTGGTGCATAGCACCCAGTCAGAAGCATCAGGTTTTGGCCACTACTGGATGCAGCATGCTAGGCTGCTCCTGTATGAAAATTACTAGTTCTCTTTTAGTCCTTTATTCAGGAAGTTATTAAGGCAGAAGGTTGAGCAAGTGTTTCAGCAAAGCCAGGATAAGGTTAAAAAAAATGCTGGTAATGTTCCAAAAAACAAGGTAATGTTCCAAAAAGACATGACTTGACCCCTACATTTCTTCTCAGACAAAACTCCTAGTGATTTCAATGTTTGCCTGAGTAGAGTCTAAGCAAAGTCTACAGGATCTGGCCCACAGTGAGAGGCAATTTACAGGCAAGTGAGATGTGAGAAGTTAGATTTTCCAAGTCAAGAGCTCTACCGAGATTTCTGGCCTTTGAACATCTACATATATATTGTGCACTTCCCACGCCTTTCCCAGATATTTCTGTAGCAGAACATGTTATTTACCTGAGTTATGTCTTTTAGCACCTGATGAAGGGAAAGGGTCTCTTCTTTGGCATTCTTGGTCAGTGAAGCTTTATATTCTACCTCCAACCGACTGGCCTCCTAGAAACAGAATAAAGAAAGGATGAGTTGGAGCATTCCCATCTCCCCTAGCACTGACTTGCCACTGTGCCTCAGCTCCAAACTGAAGGGCCAGCTCTAGGCACTCTTCATGGCCCATTCAATCCTTACCTTCTCTGCTGGAAACTAACGAGGACACCAACTTCAATGTGAACACCTGATAACTCTGAATGAGATAAACTGAGAAGCTGTCACACGCTGACAGTCTTTGGTCACTGGTGACCTAACTGGATTACAAGTGCCTGAGGTGAAATATTCTGTTACAAGCTCTCCGATGCTGGATTAGATGTGCACGCAGTTCCCCTGCCACTGCCCAGCCTTCAGTTGCCAACCACGAAACACACATTTAGACAAAGTGCCTTATGTTCCCATATAGGGAGGAAGCCACAGCTCTTTGTGGTGAGGCTGGGAAGAAAAAAAAAAGCTCAAACCCAATAGCTGTTGGGTTGCTTTCCCACAGATTTCTCACACACCAGAATTTCCATCGTGTCACTAAGTGTCTTCACGGTCTTTTCTTTCTCCTCATTCTGCTTCTGGGACTGCGCCAGCAAGGCTGAGAGCTCCATCACCCTGAGAAGAAAAAGTCTGTGCAATATTCCAAAAGCTTAGCACACCATCAGCTGCATAGGAACTATGTCTGAAAGTCTGTGCAGCACCTCCATGAGATACACCACAGAAGACTCAGCCCAGAGGGAGGGGACAGAGATGGCTTTAAGCCACCTTTGGGCCTTCAGGATTCTGAGGTGCTCTGTGGTTCTGGTATGGAGGGCTGTCTACGGGCTGTGTCACAGTCCAGGAACCTTGTAACGTTGAGCACTGTGTAGATGACCCCAACACGTCCCTGCACCTGAGCTTGCAAGGGGGCAGTATAACTGGCAGCCCCATGCAGCATCTGCACTGTGGGGATTCTCTCTCCAGCCCCTTGCAACATAGTCTGGTTATCATAGCATTGCACTGGGGTGGGGGACAGAACTGGTCCCTTTATACTGCTCAGCATTTCTCTCCAACTACATTACAGTAGAACCTCAGAGTTACGAACACCTCGGGAATGGAGGTTGTTCGTAACTCTAAAATGTTTGTAACTCTGAACAAAACGTTATGGTTGTTCTTTCAAAAGTTTACAACTGAACATTGACTTAACACAGCTTTGAAACTTTACTATGCAAAATAAAAATGATGCTTTTAACCATCTTGCTTTAAATGAAACAAGCACAGAAACAGTTTCCTTGCTTTGTCAAATCTTTTCTTTAAACTTTCCCTTTATTTTTTTAGTAGTTTACGTTTAACACAATTCTGTACTGTTTCCTTTTTTCTTTTTATGGTCTCTGCTGCTGCTTGACTGCATACCTCCGGTTCCAAATGAGCTGTGTGCTTGACCAGTCAGTACGTAACTCTGGTGTTCGTAACTCTTAAGGTTCTATTGTAACTGTAAACCCAACTCTGCCACCCACCCTCCAAGAAAACCCCTTTCCACACACACCATTACTCCCAACTTCATCTCACTCAGAGACAGGGTGACCAGACAGCAAGTGTGAAAAATCAGGACAGGGGGTGGGGGGTAATAGGTACCTATATAAGACGAAGCCCCAAATATCGGGACTGTCCCTATAAAATCGGGACATCTGGTCACCCTACTCAGAAAGCCCATTTTCTTTATTCAGGCGCCTCTCTGCCTATTTCTTTTTAAAGCCAACAGTAGATACCATTTTGAAAAACAAACCCGGTATGAAGTGGCTGTGCTTTGAAGGAGAATGCAGATTGAATCCAAAGGCCTCTGTGATAAATGGTGGGAAACATTCCCCAAAGGTTGTGTAGGGTTTTTAAGACTAATTTACCTGCCCTGAAGCTCCTCTTTCTCTATATCCCCTTTGACCTGCAAGCACATCACTTCTTGGGTTTTCTGGTATACTTCCTTTTCCAGCTCCTGAGCCCTGGCACAAAGCTGCTGTGTCTGATCCCTCGGGGCAGATCTTTCCAAAGTGTTCGACTCCCAGGGCCGTGTACCAGAACTTAGATGGAAGCAGCTGACAAGTATTGATCCAGAAAGTCTTATCTGGTCTGCCTTCAGTGCTGACAAGTCCCTGAAGCAGAATAAAATAGTAAAATAGATCCTCAAGAACACTTTCATCTGCATATTCACCTTTTAAACATGTCACAGCATGACAATTACAACCCATTGTTGAGGATCAGTCTTAACATTTTCCAAAGATGTTCAGCCATCTCAGATACTTAGAGGATCAGTGATCTGGTTTGTAATCAACTAAGGAAGAAGAAGGATGTTTCAGTGGTTACAGTGCTAATCTAGGACTAGGGAGACCCAGCTTTAATTCCCAGCTGTGCCACCAGACTTCCTGTGTCTCAATTCCCCATCTGCAAAATGGGGATAAAGCACTTCTCTACCTCACAGGAGTGTTGTAAAGAAAAATACATTAAAATTGTGAAACATTCAGACATGGCCAGATAAGTATCTAAGGGCTTGCATGGAATTTATTTTTGCACAACCCCCACTCCTCCAAAAAACCCAAACAAAACAAACACACACCTAAAAACCTGAATGCAAAAATCTTGCATTATTATACCATTAAAGGTGATCTACACTAAAAATCAGGAAATCCCAAAAGCTGAGCTACTTCCTGAAGTATTGACTTTGCCTCATTATAGATACATAATGTTTTTCTAGTGTTGTTTCCTTTGTTGAAGCATTACATGTGTGCAACATGCAAAGATTCATGGGAGAAACCTGAACTTTGTGAATTTTCTGGTTGAGTGCTTGATTTAGCAACTTTAATTTTTACACTGATACTAAGGGGGTTCTCCCCAATCTATCTTCCCTGTCTTGTAAGGAAAAGGTTGGAACTCTCAGGCTTCTGCAGCTCACAATTTCCAAAGGCTTGACCAATGGCTTGTTCCTCAAATTCCAACTACAAAAGTGTTATAATCTTCTTAGTTGGGAAACATGGCAGGAAATGTATATTGATGTACTTGTCTCCAGCAGGGTGTATGGGGTGGTATGAGGCACAAGAGAAGCAGAGGAGGTTGTGAAAATACAGGTCTCCTGCCCAAAAATTAGACTGGCTGTGTGCAAGTCCAGGGATGAAGTTAAGATGGGGCTAATTACAGGCATACAGTAAAGGTTGCCCAACACACCCTCTTGTAAGACTCTACTATAGTTAAGGTTAAGAACAGCTTTCTGTTTAAAGGACTACTCTAAGTGCCCTATAATCCACATAGTTACTTGGATTGCCTTGACATCTGGGGGAAGAGAGTAGGGCTAGTGAACCAGATTTGGAGTCTGTTGTAATAATTGGAACCTAGCAGTCCTACTCCAATTATGAGCTTATCTGGTGGAAAATGGGTAAAGATTTGTGAACTGTCACAACAAGTTGTCTCAAAATTGTTTCAAAAGAAAACCGGAAGGCTGAAATACTTCAGATAGCAAGGGTTTACTAACAACATGCAAGGACTGTATCAAGATCATGCTTAGTAAACAAGAGGAGTATAGGACCAGAAATCAATGGACCAAAATTGGTGCTTCAAAAATTAGGCCTAATTGGCAAACAAAATAATGAGAGGATGGGCTATTCTACCCATCAGTCCTTTTTGGGGCCCTTAAAAAGAGACTTGAGGGGAAAATTAGTGGACACTGACTGACTGGGAGGTGGATGGACTGGAAGGAGCGAGCTTTACCATCATGGCTGCCACTGCCACTACTTCCTGGGATTCCAGGATACACATTTTCACCATTGGGCCTTCACTGTCCTGATTGTGGAGATATCCTGACCAGACTGGGCCAGAGAGAGGGACACAGATGACATCACCACCTCCACCAGCTTTGGCTAAATCATGAATACCACCTGGGATGGGAAACTTTGTCACCCTTTCCCTCGTGTGTCCTGTTCATTCCCCACCTTATTTCTTCTATTCCCTTTTGCCTTCTGTTTAATAAGAGACTGGCTTAGCTGACCAAGACTGTACATTTTGTACCACCACTTAAAGCCTGCGCCCAGGGAGTTGGCTAACAGCAATGACTGAAACAGTCTGATGCTTGTAAAAGTTTACCAGGTCTCTGAATGGCTGATCAGAGCTATGCTTTCGCTAATGCGAAACCTAGTGACCGAGGA